CAGTTTTCGATACAACAGATTCTAGGATTTTAATAGATGGGTTGGGATCAGGAACAAACCACTTGGTTTCATTTTTATCTCTTAGAAAAAATCCCCCCAAAAAACTATCTAATAAGAATATGCAACTTATGGTACACCATAAGATTCAATTTTAGGTCTTATGTCATTTCTCATTTATATGCTTTTCACATTTATTTAGTTTTGCTACACCCACATCACAGATCTAAATTCCCATGAAACCTGCTGATCATAAAAACCTGTTTTAAACTGTCTCGTCATGTGAAATGTTGACAGTGCATTTTCTTAAATCAGTTAAACCCCAAACAACATCCCCCTCAGCTCCACACTGTTTGGTCTTGCTTTCTCCAAATAAGAACTATCTTGAGAGAAAAACTGATACTTTAACATTCAGACCTGGATGAAGTATACACATTTGTTTTCTTAAGGATCAACTACTACAACTCCTCTCTGGTATAAAAAAAAAATGAAAGATACTAAATTGTGGTTTACAGTCAACACTTTCCTAACACATACTGTTAAAACTACTCATTGTATGCAAGTATAATTTTTCCAATGTTCAGGATGTTAAAAATGTTTAAAAAAATTAACTACAGATAAATTAGATTAAAGTGTATGTTTTCCTTCTTAAGATGCACATTTTGAGCTGCTAAATGTATAGCACAAAACGGCTTAGCCAAAGTAATGAATGCAAGTTCGTGCTGTAGTTCACAGCTTTTTATATTACTATGCGACCAAACTGTGTGCTTTGCGAGGGCACATATACCCTGTGCCTGAATAGATAGAGGGCCCCTGGTCATTTCAGTCCGTGCCTCTCACCAACTTGCAGGCAGCTGCAGTAACACGTCGTTACAACACGAAGCCACTATTGTGCTTCCTGCCAAAAACAAAAAAATAAATAAATAAATAGTGACGCAAATCTGGCTATCCAAAGCGAAACTTCGCGCAAAAATCCTGTCCCTGCCGTTGTGACGCTACGTGTACCTTTAAGTACACAGTGTTTAGTACCCAACATACTTCGTTATCTGGGTCAAAATACGGTTAGCAAACGACGAAATGAGACGTTATCGCGGGGGCTGGATGCTGTGCTAGTCCACCTGCATTCAGATTAAAAACAGTCTTAGTGTGCTGTTAGATTATGTAAATAAAATAGGAATTGATTGGTAGCTCTATTAGTAGACGACATTTCACAGGTGACACGTAAATACCGTTGACACACGCCTAACAAAAGCTCTATTCAGAAATCAGCGTTTAAACGGCTTTACTTTAAATTTTGGTTACATGTACGACAGCGCACACTTTTAAATATCTCCTGCCTTACTATGACATTTAAATCAAATCGGCATGGGTCTTAAAACACCCAGGGACTCTTATTTCAGCTAAACAGCTGGTTAGCATCGCTACTTTCCACGCCTGAACCCACCTTCACCTTCCGCAGGACGACGCGGCCAGGGGCGGCAGCCACCATCCTGTGCCAATCTCCATTCAGGTTTTAGTGAATTTAACAGATTGCATTTTGTGTAACACTGTCTCTCACATAAGGTGGAGTCTCTATCCCATATCCCAGTAAAAAAAAAAAAATCCGGGCCGTGTTAAAGATAGTTTCTCGCTTACGAGGCTGAAGAAAGGCGTGTTAACTCTTAAAGGATTGGGAATAGAGGTGTAAACGCTGCTAGCCTGCTAACCTGAGATCCCACCTAAAATAATGAACTCAAACTCAAACGTTTACAAATGGAAATTTAACCCAAGCGGGGCTTCAACACTCACCCAAAACAACACAAAGCGTAAATCCAGTAAATAATATACGCTTGCGAATCGTATCTGGCCATTTGGACTCCATTATGTGGTTGTAAACAGGAGTAGTTGCTCCGCTTTTTTTTTTCCTCCACCCTCCACTGTCCTAGTGGTTTCTTCTTCTTCGCTGCGGGTACAAACACCTGTGGGTTCGGCTGCTTCTGCGCCCTATAGAACGACCAGACGAATCACACATAACTTCCACCAACAGACAACAAACAAAAGGAGGATTTCATGAATAAAAGTGAGCGCTTTCTGCCTGAGGCTAACAGTATCAGCTATATTTTAAACCTTTTTCTCTTCAATGAAACCAAACTAAACTGAAGAACAGAGGGTGGTGTATAAGGGTGGAAGGAGGGGCACACAGGGGAGTCAGGGGAGAATGAAGCTAGAAAAGGAAGTGAAAATTAAATAACAGAAGTTAAAGAAGGAAGAATGTTGCACAGGGTTCAGGGAGGAGTTGAGACGAACTCTGAAGAGTTATCAGATGACTGGGAAATTGTCAAGAAGGTATTTGGTGCATTGTCTGGAAAGAGGACGAAAGGGTAGAAGTCTTGGTGGTGGAATGAGGAAGTACAGAAAAGGATTCAGCAGGAGTATGGGCTAGTCAGAAATATGAAGAAAGCAAATAGAAGTTCTGGGAGGCTAGACGTACCGAAAAGGAAGGGCCGCAAAGACAAAGGTGGATCAGGTGGTGTTTAATCTGATGATGTGGTGCATGTGTAATTGTGATGCTTGTAAAGCAGTGAGATGACAGTCAGCTGATAGTTATGCTGTAGTGAGGATGGCCTAGGAGCTACAGTCTGTAACTGATAATGGTGGTGTTTTTGGTGCTGTGCAGAAAGCACAGTACACTCGATGTTGTACTGAAGTCGGCAGGATCGGTGACGTGATGGAGCACAGTCTGCACACGCTGAAGCAGAAAGGGGGAAATCCTGAATCTCTAACAGCTCAAATATCTGATCTGTAATCATCTTTATAAAATCTGTCTGCAGTAGTTTGCTTAGAAAAAAAAAAACTACTACATTTTATTACAATCCCTCCTGTGATGGCGTGATGAAGTGAAGAGCTCCATCTGCTCATACTAAAAAGAGGAATCCTTTCTCCAGGGCCTGAATGCAACATAATGCATAAAAGTATGGAGGTAAAATGAAGGAAGGCTTCTAATAGCAGATGAATGATGGCAAGATATCTAAGCAAAAAAAAAAAATCACCTGTGTGGAAAAGATATGACAGCACGGTATGATAACTTTAAACCTGAGCAGTGGAGGAACTGCACCTCTCCAAATATGAACCACCAGTCATTCAGGGTCTTTAAGTGTGGATTTGCATCCACCATTCTTCCTGTGTCGGAGTGAGCTCTCTCTGGGCTTCCTGCCACAGTCTAAAGATGTGCATGTCAGGTTAATTATCATGTTAGTGATAATTAATTATCATTATCATGTTAATCTCATGGTAGGTGTGAATACTTGTCTGCCTCTCTGTGTTAGCACTCCAACAGACCAGTAACGCTTCACCCTATGACAGCAGGCGATGGGACACTTTATTAGTTACAGCTTGCCAAGTTAAACCTTTTGCCCTCATGGCTGCCTTCATTTCTTATGGCACAGATTCAACAAGGTGCCGGACACATTCCTCATCCTATTGACATGATGACATCACACTTGCTGCACATCCATGACGTGAATCTTCTGTTTCACCACATCCCAGAGGTGCTCCAACAGATTGAGAGCTGATGGCTGCGGAGGCTGTTTGAATACACAAAACTCAGTGTTATGTTCAAGAAACTAGTTTAAGGTGATTTGAGCTTTGTGACACAGTGCTTTGTCTTGCTGGGAGCAACTATCAGAAGACGGGTGCACTGTGGTCATAAAGGGATTGATTGGGTCAGATACATGCCAAATTCTGACCCATCCATCCAAATGTTGCAGCAGACATTGAGCCTCATCAGATCAGGCAATGTTTCTCAAGAATCTTCTATGATCTAATTTTGGTGAGCCCGTGTGACCTGTAGTTCCAATTTCCTGTTCTTAGCGGACAGTAGTGGCACCCGGCGTGGTCTTCTGCTGCCGTAGCCCATCTGCTTCAAGATTCAGCCTGCAGAGATGCTCTTCTGCATACCACAGTTTTAAAAAGTGGTTATTAGCTTGAAGCAGTCACACTGGATGCTGGATATTTTCTCTTTCTCGAATCAGTCTCTGTAAACCCTATAAATGGTTTCGTAGCAATCCATGAAGTACTCAGACCAGCCAGTCTGTCACTTGAATCACCTTTCTTCCTCATTCTGATGCTCGGTAGGTCGTGTACATGCCTATATGCACTGACTTCCTGCCGTGGGATTGGCTGATTAAATATTTGTGCTAACTAGCACTTCAACAGGTGTACCTAACAAAGTGGACAGTATTTTATTTCAGCTTACTAAAACATTGATGACAAACGTTGTACCTACTGTAAATAACTGGGTGGATGTAACAATGTAAAACTAGACGTTTATCAAAGCTCTGATGACAGACCTTAGAATGACGGGACTTTTCTGCCATCTCTATTTTCATTTATTTATTTCCCATTTATTTTTCTCATATATGCAAGTATGAAATCTCACTTCCCCCTCTGGATCCTCGTGGTTATGAGAGCATTTTCCGATTGTTTTCTGCAGGGAGAGACGGTGATTTAACTTAAATGAAAGTAAACTGAGATTTAATGTTTCGGGTGCAAAGCCTCGTCTCCTTTTTCTCATTCTCCAGGAAAATAACAAGAAAATAAAAGCTCAAACTGTGCACTTGAGTCAGTTTTTAGTGGCTAATTGAGAGAAAAGTGCAAGAATAAAACTTCTGTCATCGTATCTGAGTCATCACTTTTTTAGTTTGTAAAATTTTACAGCTGCTGTAAAAACCGGTTACAAAAATTACCCAAAATCCAATTTTTTAAATAAGCATCATTAAATTTAACAGTAAAAATTCAAAATTAAAGTGCCCTTTGAGTAATTAGTTATTATTTACACTAAAAACCAGGTAGCACTAGACAGTGAGAGCGTTTAGACCAATTTCATTTAAACATTTACTTATATATCCTTTTCTTTTTTTGACATTAGATTTAATATATAAAAGTCCAATCTGTGATGACCAGCTGAGAATCATCATATGAGACTATAATATAATAACTGTTATAGACAAGGCGTTATTTGGTCTTCATAAATAAAATTCAAACACAATAAAGCTTTCAGAGGAAATTATGTCCAGAATTCACTTTGTAAACTCACTGCATTCATCTCTCACAGGTCTCAGCTTTCCTTAACCCTCATAGACCCAACGAAACGTGAGGAAATGTTTGACATGCAGGCTGGAAAATACAAAAAAAGTCATCAATATTTCCTCAAACCAACCAAAGCTGCTTCTGCGTGCTCTGTGAGTACTCTTTCGACATCTTTGCTTCTTTTACAATGGAAGAAAAGCTGTCCTGCATCATAGTTTCCATGAATCTGAAGCTTTGTGTCCAGCCTTTTCATACCAGTCCAGAACATCGCACAGCGAGCCAGCTCCGGGAAAATCCTTTGCATCTTTAAAAATAATATGTAGTTGAAGTTGTGCATTCATTTTCTTTGCCAGTAAAGTAAGTTAAAAGTCTCCTTTGAGTCATCTGGAAAAAACAGTTTTTCCACATTTTCAGTTTTAGCCATATTCAAGGCACAAATGCAGACTTAGACACACGTCTTCTGACTCACATGCTGCATTTTTTTTATTTTGAAAGAGGCTTGAAGATAAAGAGCAGCACTGTTTTATAGATCAGAGCACTAATAGCTCCTGATTAGCAACTTCTTATGATCAAAAAGTCTGGATTAAAAACGATGAAAAAGAATCTGCAGTCAACTGTGTGACATCTGACAGCTTTATCACCTTCTAATCCGGCCTATACGACAATCCGGGGCATGCAAAACAAAACAGGTTTGAACCAAAGCTTCTACATTTTTATGTAAAAGCTTTATCTTACTTTCTGTGGCTTTCAAGATTAGACTTTTCTCTCCTCTCACTCTCAAAAGTTCTTGTACTTTGTTTTAAATCCTTAATTGGTCTTTCCTTGTTGTACTTTTTCAAGCCCTCAGGTCATATGACCAGTTGCTCCAACCTATACAGAAATCTAAGCGCAAGCTCAGGTGG